GTGTATATGCAAACACACATAAACGTATACATATACACATGTACGCACATATTTACACAGCCCCAAACATCCCAATATATTGCAAAAAAAAAGAGGAAAATTAAATAAATAAAATCAGATACACTCATCATCCCTATATCTTTTGAAAATAATATTTTTATACCTCTCTTTAAAATTTTTATGTTTGGACATTACTTAAGTTCCACGCTCAGACACTGAAGACCCTGTAACACTAGACAATTTATGCCAACTTATGAAACATTTTTATGTCTAAATTGCTAATAAAAGTTATATATTTGATGAATTTGTTAGAATTACATTTTGTACACGCCTAAAAGAAGCTTCCCGTTGTTTTTTTTTAAATTCTATCTTTAATGTAGATGTCTTTAAAATGTTCATAAGTTTGCATAAGTTGTCTAGTGTGACAGGGCCTTAAGTTATAAAGTGTTCTGCCACATGTCCTTTTGGAGAATACTAGAACAAAGTAAACACAAAGTATCAACYCCTCCACAGCTGGCAAGGGTGTGTGTCTGCCCAGTTTGAGTTCCCAAAGTTTGACTATAACCCAACCTAGAGCTCAGTGCTGTGTTACTGCAGCGTCAGGCTACAAACAGGAAAAAATATTTTTTACCACACAGTGCAATGCATGATGGGAGCCACCATTTGCATCTGATTTCACTCCTGCTCTTCAGCCTTTTCTTTTTGATGCCACACTTTACAAGGTGGGTTTTGTCAGCCCAGGACCCAAAACACTTTTAATGCACTCCAATCCAGCCCCCGTTCCTCACCAAAAGCAAATAAAAATGCACCCAGAAAACAAAAACCACCTCATTACTCAACAAGTGTTGGTGTTTCCTCCTCTCCWGGTGGGTTTCCTACAAGAACCCATAAATCCAACACATCACCAAATTAAATTTTTATGGACACAAGTCAATTACATTGATTGTCTTTAATTTAGTACATGGATATTCTAGATTATTTCATTCTTCATAAAAACAATAAATATAACATTATTGTGTGGACTTTAAACTTATTTTAAGATTGTCACAGTCTTATCTTGACATTTCTCTGAGAATATTTTTGAAAATGAAATCTGATTCAGTGAATGGTTTAAGTTGGGGTTTTCTTACATCCAGGATCAACAACATAACTCAGCTCTGAGACAGACTGTTCAGATTTAGTCAGATTATGATGTTTGATAACTGACTTTAAAGACCTGCTTTGAGACAATATTTTTAACATAAATATGGTCCCAGGTCTTTGTTTTAAATTTTAACATTCAAGTAAACTTTTTCACTGAAACGTTTGGGTTATCCCTTGATTAAATACCACTGACAGTCATGTTCTGCACTGCCCATCCTGATGAGACCAGAGGGATCTGTTTAGTCTTTTAATGAGGAGAAACATTGTTATTTGTGAGCAACAAGCAGAAACTCTGCTCTGGAGTTGTTTCAGGTTCTGTGCTGCGTTCACACCAAACGCATTTAGAACTTCAGGTTTACATGAAAAGTCTGTGGTGGACACGCGTCAAGGAGCATCAGGAAGTGCTGCGGCATGTCTAGTAATGTGCGTTGTGAAGATTTGACACACGTCGAACACTGGAGTTGGAAAATATGAACTTTTGCAGCTTGATTAAGCTCGATTAAGATTAATTTTAGTCATAACTTCAGATAAGAATGTGCTAGATGCATGAAATTTGAACAACTTACATTCAGTGGGTAAAATAAGTATTGAACACGTCAACATTTTTCTCAGTAAATATATTACTAGAGGTGCTAATG